TTCATCAGGGAATTGTCTGAAACACAGCAGTTTAAGTCATCCAGAGAAATTTAAATCGAATTAGTCTGATTAGAACAACCAGTGGTCCAACTGAATCCACGAAATTGGAAAAAAACACTAACGTGGCATCATAAAGAACTTCTTGTATGTTGTTACCGCCTTGAACGAACGATACATAGACGTCCGGAACATTACCACAGTTGTTGGTCTTACAAATTGTCAACTGAAAAGCGATAATTAAGAGGCACGTTACTCATTCATTTGATGTTAAGACGCCTCCTCTGAGCATGGTAGTCCTGCCCGGAAGTCAGAAGGGTGTACTACTCTCGCAGCTCGAAAACAGGAAGAAGGAAGCGGAAGGAACCAGCTTGGAACGAACCACTGCCCCGCCCACTGGCCACAACAATGCCCAGCTTTTATTTTTGAAGGTTTCCCGGTGGTTCCATTGCTCCGCTTCTAGCTCTCTCTTTTCAAATAGCGACAGTGAGTGATAAGGGATAAGACCTGATACCAACAAGTGAGAATTCGTCCGACCACGCTCTTTCTTCGCTTTATGCACCTACGAACGTGGTTTCCGCTTCCATATGAGACAATTCAAGTAGAGTTCTTTTGGCTTTTTTTCCTCACTTTTGTGCTATTTGTCAACATGTTATTAGCACTCGAGCAGCACAACTCGCCATTTTTGAGCGCGGGGCGTGTCTTTAACTCAAAGTATGACTCCCGGACCTAGGCTGTGTATGGCTTAGCCTTTCACCCCCTGGTGACATCAGTCGTTCAAGCCTAAAGTTACGCTTTACTTGGATTGGAGAGGACTCCAGCAGAGAATATCTTCTAGAACCATAGCGATGCCAGTGCTTGAGGTGCCCTTCCGTTAAGCATTCTGTGGTCCACCCCAAGTCCCAAATAATGAAAGAAACGCGGGAACAATTGTCAGATATGCTCTCTGGTAAGATTTTCAATTAACTCACCCTGTATCTTCCCAGCATGCCACCCTCGAGATCATGATGAAGTGATTCGAATGAGAAATTTCCAGCCACATATGTCGTTGAAGGCGCTTTCGCCTTGTTTTCTACTACATCATAGAGAACGATTCATGTCTCAAAAACTGTAGTCACGACTTTGAATTCAGTCTAAAAAGAAGTGAGCTTGAAGAAAGAGGGTCATAATAAACTGCCATGACTGTGAAACGCAGGGTCACTGCAACTACTGGCGAAACATAATGGGGATCTTATAACGCGCACGCAGATCGGCTTGGTGGAGAAGCACTAAAGTACTCAGGCGGATTGCACAGAACAGTTGTTAACACCTGGTAAGTTCTTGTGACCAAAGTGGCTCACGTGTTTCGCAGCTTCACAAAAGCTCACAGGGCTCTTTTAAGGGAAACCTGTCAGTTAACAAGAACCAGCGAAGGAAATATGTTCAAAATGCTCCCCCTTTTAGGCCGAACAATGCCGTCTTGCCTTGCATCATAAAGGCAGTTGGCACGATGATTTGGTGCTCGGCCTAAAATGCTAGTAGGGGGCTATATAGTTGGGAAATGGCGAAAAAACGGAGTGAAACGGTCACGCGGCAAGAAAGCAGGCACCCGTTTCCAATGACTCAAAAACTAATTTGGAGCGAGTTTACTGTAGGCATCTTGCCAATATAAACGACTAACGAAGTACGGCTGCAAATGTGTTATATATCAGTGACGATGCGCGAGGGCCAGCTAATATACCAGTCCCTTCGCTTCGTCATTTGCTTAGCAAATGAATCGATTAGAGCGTCAGGAGCGGTCGTCCATCTGTAGGCGGGCGGGCGTGGTGGGCGTTCGGGTCATCATGCAATAATGTTGTGGCTTGATAGGTCCTTATAAAGGCACCTCCGCTGTGGAAGAGGTATCATGCGGCTCCGTCGGGGAATTCCGCTCCTGCAGGCGTGTTTATTGCGTACTCGTCTTGGGATTTAATCGTGCCAATTTAAAGAAATAAGCGGAGAGCTGTGACCATTGTGCCCTCTTCATTAGTACGCTGACCCTTCTTGCAGGGCAGGAAAAAGCGGTTGGGGGGCGCCAATAGTGAAAGCGCAATAATTGTGAGTCTCCACCCTCCAATTTATCGCGTCCTCAACGGCCAACCAAGGGAACGTTCAATTGATATTGACACTATTTTGTTTCGGAAGCTTTGACCGCAAACGCAACTTGCCTGGCCATCTGCTCGTTGGCGACGGGAGCAGATTTGTGGATCTCACTTTTCACATTGAGAGGTTCAGCCGCTAGCGCCGAATGCAGGACTGGAAACAGAAAACACTTTTAGGCGATTCTACATCTATTTGACTAATTACTTTTCCAAAGAAACTGCATTCTTATTAGATCTCAACTGCTGACCACAACGATCGGCTATTTTATCCTCTCTGGCTTTTTTTTTTGTTGACAGCGAATTCCGAGGTGAAAATCCTGCCATAAGGCAAAGGCAAATATTTGGTTGAATGGGGATATTTTTATCGATTGATATTGAAATAATTCGTCATAAAGTAAACTGAAGAATATGGATGAGCCCGAAATAGTAATGAATGGGCATTTAATTAAATGATCTTGGACATTTTGGATTTTAGACGTCATGACGCCATAATTAAAAATATGGTAACCTTGTGATAAATTGGTCCCTTTAGAAGTTCACATGAAGTTTGAGCTGTAGTAGTTCATCCATCAATTCACAGTCTTGTTCGGTGCAGAAGCTCTCCCGGGGTGGGCAGAGGGCTGCGTTCGGCGCGGCGCCGACCCATTCTACACCAGTTGTTGAAGAGAGCCAGCGATACTAACTGGTGGGAAACGGGTTGGCTCCACGGCAAACAGCCCTCCCCCAGACACGCCCAGCATTCGCAGCGAATAAGAATAAGAGCCTTTCATTTCGAGTGTTATAGTTTGAAGCTGAATCTATCCAAACCGAAGCTAAAGGAATAAGTGGGGAAGTTCAAGTGCCGCCCACATTGTTCATCGCTTGCAGTGTGCAGCACCAGAACCGGTAAAACGGCAATGTCCAAAAAATCTCCTCCTCAGGTGC